GACATCCCACCCATCTTCCCCATCCCTGCCACTGTGTCGGGTGCTACTCACGGGTGACAAGGGAGTCACCTCACCTCATATTTTGGCGAAGGGCTGCACACATTGAGCCAAGAAAGTAACAGGGCAAATGGGGGTGGGGGAGGAAATAATGGTGAGATGGGACCTGTTTAAATGTGAGAAACGTTTTAAATCATTACTCAATTCACTTTCATACAGGAATTCTCTTTCAAGATTGTTTCCACCTATGTGGGCACCTGATCTTGGAAGCAATGGTGATTTCTCAGGGCTCTCATCGAAGCACTTGGTTGGAAATAAGGATTTTCCAGACCTGACGGGGACACAGAGCTACTGTCAGGAGCACCTGCAAAAGCCTCCTGGTGTGGACGTGTTGCACAGAGGTTTGGAAGATCTTCACCTCATCGAGTCTTGGCTTTCTCCGCCTGGCCCTTGCACTCAGCCTGAGGATTTGCTGAAGAGCAGTTATCCTGAACATTCCTCTTTGCAAAATAATGATACACTTCACCAAGAACGGTTTGCATTTCAAAACACAGGCTATAATCAGCATTCGTGTGGTTACGACCGCATGAGTTTAAACGGAGACTACGAAAAAATGGGGTCCAATTTTAGCACTTTTTCTTCTCGGAACAGCCTGAAGGAAGGCAGTGGCGTTCAGAAAGAATATTGGAAAGCTGAGAGAGCGAGAAGCAAAGCTCTGAAAAATCAGGCTCCAAACCAAACTAAGTATTCCCCTCATCTTTCCAATGCTGCTGATGCCTCCTGGGATAAACTGTCCCAGGACAACCAGTTGTTTTCTAAAAGATACGAAAATTTTACAGCTGCTCATAAACTGCCGTCACCTTTTCACCCATCGCTGTATTTTTTCAATCAGCCCCCTAAAGAAAATAACTTTTCTGGAGGGTTGAACAGAAAACCGCAGCAAACCCACGTGCAGAATGGTCATCGTAGCTTCACTTTGGGAGATGCTTTTAATAATAATGAATGTAAGATCCAGGTTAGTCCGAAAGAATCCTCTCTGAAAGTGTCTGAGTATGATTTATCTGTAAAAAACCTAATGCAGAATGGGAGTTACTCATCGTACCGTGGGTGTAGGTGGCTGGATGGGAAAACAGCAAATCCGACAGCGGCATCGGATATCGCGTGTGGAAACCAAGTGGTTCCAAGTCCTCAGTCGTCTTCAGGGGTCTCAACCATGTCTGGTGGCTCTCCCACCCATCAGGCTGTACCACAACCCTCTTACTACTCACAGCTCTTACCTGTCCTCCCTTCCAGGAAAGATGGCAGGTTACAAACATCAAATGGGTTTTCTAACAATTTGAGAGTTTCTAATTTCATCTCGGAAAACCAGAAGCAAATGAAACCCATTGGACGATCCCAACATGATCCATGGACTAATAAGGAAGGGCAATACCGTAAATTCCCCCTTAATTTTGCATCTGAGTGGTTAACGCAGAGGAATGCCCTGAGTGAGGACCCTGAAAAATACCACAGGTTTCCAAAAAAGCCGCCACAGGAAAACAGTAATAGAGACGATAGAGGAGGCAGGAGGAATTGCTTCCCTCATTTTGGGTTTACAGCCCCAAATCATCAGCAGTTCAATATGTTCCGAAAAAGCCATGAACAGAATGGTGGTAGCGTGTCAGACTTCATCAACCCTTCTCTTCTTCCTTCTTTCCCATTAATGTCTGACTTGAAGCAAAGCCCCAGCTTTCCCCCATTTAATCACCACCTGTTTTCATCAGCAAATCATCTCCCTTTTCCTCCGTCACCATTCCCGTTCTCAGAACTTTTCGATCTTTTTCACCACAATGATTTGAACCCCTTGAATCCCTTCATCAACGATCTGCTTTGTGGGGAAATAGCTGCACCGTGCTTTGCCTTTCCGAACCCATTTAACAAGTACAGACCTCCACGAAATCGCAGCGGTCCGGCCAACGAGCTCCATGTCCGACTGGAAGAGTGTTACGAGCAGTGGAGAGCTTTGGAGAAAGAGAGAAAGAAGGTAAAACCACAACTGCCACTAACTTTCTATCCAAATTGATGATTGCATGAAACGATTTATAGAGAGTAGATGCTCTGAGCTGTCACTTAGAGCCCTAGAATCACAGAATGGTTTGGGATGCTGCCTTAAAGCTCCTCCAGTCCAACCCCTGCCATGGGCTGGGACACCTCCACCAGCCCAGGCTGCTCAAAACCCTGTCCAACCTGGCCTTGAGAATTGCCAGGGAGGGGGCATCCACAGCTTCCCTGGGCAACCTGGGCCAGGGCCTCACCACTCTCACAGTAAAGAATTTCCTTCTAATATTCAGTCTAAATCTCCCCTCTTCTGGTTTAAAACCATTCCTCCTTATTCTATCGCTACCTGCCCTTGTAAAAAGTCCCTCCCTGGCTTTCCTGTGGAACCGCTTCAGGAACTGGAAGGCTGTAATAACGTCCCCCCAGAGCCTTCTCTTCTTGAGGCTGAACAGCCCAAATTCTCTCAGTTAGTCCTTGTAGGGAAGGTGCTCCAGCCCCTGATCATCTTCATGGCCTCCTCTGGACTTGCTCCAACAGCTCCATGGCCGCCTTATACTGGGGGCCTCATAGTTGGACACATCCCTGCAGATGGAGTCTCACCAGAGCAGAGCAGAGGGGCAGAATCCCCTCCCTGGCCCTGCTGGCCACACTGCTAGGGATGCAGCCCAGGATGGAGTTGGTTTTTGGGCTGCAGGTGCACCTTGAGGGCACATGTCCAGCTTCTCATCCCCCAGTACAGAATATTAGAAGTTAGAAGGGACCTCAAAAGCTCCCCCAGT